ACTGGCTGGTCTACGTGAAATAGAACAGGGTCAAGTGCGAGCGAGGAAATAAGCTTGCTTCTACTTACTTTCAACTTGCAGTGTTACTCGTCGAGAAGAATCCGCTTTCCTCGATCGATCCAATTACACTTTAACGTGCGATTCACTGTACTCGAGTCGTTCTACGCGCGCTCATCGAATTTACGCTTTGCGTGTAATTTCACGTTCGCATTTCTCGCTAGAGACGAAATCAAAAAGAAATGGGAAAGGAAACATAGAAACTAGTAGAAGAAGCAGGATATTAATCAGACGCGGAGACGTCGAGACGGATATTTCGCTGGGAACGAGCCGCAGGTTTTGATTCAGTATTGTTGTTACTACTTAACCACAGACTGCTGCTGTTTACGTTTGTTGCTTCAAGCTGAAGCTTGTAATTGCAATTAGGAGTCTGCGACGAGGCGGTCGCATTAATTCCTCCGGAACGATTCCGTTCCATGGGCGTGAAGTTGAATTTTGAGTGTAGCATTCGCGTAAATTAATGCATTCCAGCCTCTTTGAAATAACAACAGACTTGTAACCGAGACTGTATACGTTCTTTCAAAATATAAAAGCAGCGCTACTTCAAATTGAAAAAAAAAAAAAAAGGAACAGCAATTCGACTATTAAATAAATTCTTATTTCACACTTTTTTCTTTTCTCACCGACAGTATTATCTTAGCGAACGTCAAACAATTATCTAGCACAATTTTCTCCCGTCACGAAATTGTGCGGGCGGGAGAAGAAAGAGGCAAACGACGACGCTAATAACAATTCACCGCGTAGCATTGAGACGGAGTTGCAAACGAGAATTTTTAACGAGAAACAGTCGTGACGCGTTGTTTCCACGCCGTAGACCGGGGAAAAAAGTGAATTTCCCGGGCCCTTTTTTCCTAATCGTCTCGCATCGCATCGGGGCGGTAAACTTGTCGGCGCCGAAATGCAGCAAGTTTCAGTGAACCGAACGAGGCACGTTTCGCGATTGTTTCCCGTTTTCGAGCACCAACACGCGAACCCTACGTTAAGTCACGTACGCTGGGCGTGTCTCTGTAAAACCGCACTCGAAACTCGCGAGAAACTGCAACTAAGAAACCGCCCCTCCTTGAATTTCATTCAACGCCAGGGGATAATTTATTGAAAATTACGATCGGAAGGATCGTGGTGTCGCGATTTGAATAAAAGTGAAATAACGTCGCGGCTTAAAAAATGAAAAGCCAGCTCGTAATTATCGCGTACCCACGGGGATGTTCGGGGATAATCGGCGTGAAATTATGGCGTTTCGTAGGGGAAGAAGAACGCGCTCGTTTCGTTGACCAACGGCCGGGAAAAGCTGAGAAATGGTTGGATTTAATAAGTCGTAATGCCGGACCTCGTTCTTGCGACAACCCTGCCGGATATTCGACCGTTCCGCATCGTTTCACCTTTTTAACGATTTCGTCGCGATAATAACGATTCTCTCGACCACTTCGTGGTTCAACTATCTTCGCGACAATGTCCGCCTTGTTAGAAAAGAAAGTGGGCGATTGAAGGAACTCTCGGAGAAGTTGGATGAAACGAACCGAAAAATAGAAAAAGAAGAGGAAGAAGAAGAAGGTGATGATGATGAAATTCAGCGTTGACGATGCAAAATATTTCTATAAAATCAGAGATGACAATTTTTCAATATCCAGTATTAAGAAATATTATGGATGGAAGTTTGAAAGAGTTAAATATGCGCACCGATAGCGATGCTTTATCGCGAAACGGAGTTGCGAATTCCGGGGATAACCGCAAATCAAGCGGCAAAAAGAATCGAAACGCGATCGATCCGTATAAGTCAATCGAATGGAAAGCTGAGATAGAAGCGCATGCGAAACGAGCGACGCGAAGATAAATCGTTGCTGAAAGACGTTCTCGCGATATATCTTTCATATTTCTCTGGAGAAATCGAAACGCGTTGTTATTATTATGAAATGGGGGGGATTTCATTCAAATAATCTTTCTAATATTCTGTTGAATACCGAGCAGATCGTAGAATGACCCAGTTTCGTTGGACGTCGAGGATGATCCATCAAACGCCATTGATTCATGCGAACGATAAAATTATAATCACCCGGTAGGGAACTTTGATTTATGATTATCCAGGGGTGGGTTTACCTGCGATTTTTCGAACGATTTTAAAACACAGCTCTGGTGTAGGAATTTTGAGTGGTTCCAAGAGATGAACCATGTCCATTCGACGCGTCTGATTGATTAGAGATGGGTTAATAGATTTGTCGTGTAGAAGGTATTGCTTTTTATTAATCAATGATGGATCGTAGCTGACTGTGATATTCGGTAAAAGTGAAACGACAAGAATTTTAAAATTTTTGTAAAATAAAAATTGAATTTAGTTTAGCGTGAAGAGTCTTTTTGTCAAAGCGAATGCAAGGGTATCCGGTCGATCGGATGAAAGAAAAAAGGGACGAGCAAAATAGCATCGCGATCGAGCACCGTCCGCGTGAGAAGAGTTAGGCACTTCAAAATCGCAATCCATCCTCTATCGATACTCATCCGAACGATGGACACGAAATGGAAACAGCGTTCGTGATAACCAATGAACACAAGGGTTTTGTGTGGACGCGTGTACCGTGCTCGTCTCTGAAAGCGATTAAAAACTACAAATGCCTCCACTCCGTGACGAGATACGTATATCCCGCTGATCATAAATCTATCACGGATGAACGATTGTAATTCGAATCGGTTGAAAAATTCGGATTCCACCAGTGCCGTTTTCCATTCGGATATTTTATTTAAACATCTGACACCGTGGCTGGGATTAAAGGGCCGAATCGCACGTATACGTGTCGCAAAGCCCTATGGAACAGTGAGCATTTCCTGACCATCGAAATATGTATTACACATTTGTTCCTCCATTTAATCGCATTGTTGCTTCGTTACCTATTGCAAAACTATATTCAAAAGGTGAACAAAGGGGATCCCGTAGGTTTCCTGAAAAGGCGAAGCCGCATTTTCTTTAAACGGCCGTCCACAACGGGCGTAGACGCGTGAATTTTAGTGTCAGCAGCGTTATATTACCGGCAACAAAGCCAGAGACGTTTGTATATTCTGACTACAGAAGCGTGCACCTCTTTACCCTAGCTTTACATCCGTGCTTTCCTCTGCTTTCCACCAAGCCCTACGCCCTTTTCCTGCCCCCTTCGACCTTCTGCCTCTCTACTCGCAGCCTAGCCGTTTTAGCATAACAATGCCAGCTGGAATCGAGATCGGGTTTGACTATGAACAACCAACGACGATAAACCACGCTTGCCTCGAAACTTATCGCTTTCACGAATATTGTCCGAATATGTATGGTTGGGTGAAAGGAGAAACCGTGGTAATCGTTCCTACAGAACGTATGTCTTTTCTTCGATGACAAATAAATTCCACCGTGCTCGGGGCACCGTGATTACTACTCGTTTATGAAATAAATGAATGAAAAAAAAAAAAAGGGTTGCACGTTTCTCGTGAAAAGCATAACGAGGGATGAGTATCGAATCTGCCGTGGCGTGAAACAACGTTAAGCAATGACCAATAGGCCGTGTGAGCATCGAGTGTACGTCAAATGTCATCCCCTTTCAAGCCCGTTCGTTCCGTGTGGTTGGTAACGGCGCCATGGATGGCTCGACGAATTATGTTAAAAATGCATCGACCTCCGGTGTTCACGATTGACCGGATAACACCGTTTCTAATTACAGGCTCGTTGGCGACGGTGACGCGACGCGTAATCGCCTCGACGTTTCTCCGCGCGCAATCATCTTTCCCCTGACGACGCACCCTTCCAACAAACGACAAACTGACGGACGTACCATTTTCAACGCAAGGGACGCCCCGAGTATTCTGCAATTACCAACGTACAAATTAACGGATACGTGAAAAGGAATAATCAGCGGAAAAAAAAAGGATATAGAAAGCATTGTTGGGGGATGAACAGCGCAATCAGCTGCTTTGATTAAAAGAACGAATATGATACGGTGTGAAGGTTGAATTAAAAATGTGAAACGATATTGATCGAGAAGCGTAAACAGATAAAAATTCTATATTTAAATATTTATTCATCGTTATATCATCGTAGTTAGTTGCAAAGATTCTTCTGAAACTAAGTTTGTAATGTTATGCATGCTTGAAATACCTTTGGTTCGAAGTAGTAAACAGTTATAATTGAAAGGTACAGTTAATTGCGGTAATAAGCTGCTTTAATTTAGTTTAAGATTGTCGAGGTCTTCCTTAAGTCTCGAAAATTACATCAGCATAATTTACAAAGCACCATCAACGACTAGGGTTTTCATATAATACACTTGATTAATTATTGTAAAATATATTGAACCTATCTTTTCGATCAATTGAAACTTAAAAAGAAGGTACTTAACGAGCTGGATAATTTAATTGATCAAAGCAACGCAATGCGCGACAAGGCTTTAATTCCAGCCCAGCTATCCGATGGATTCGTTCTTTTTTTTCCCCGTGAAATAGAAACGCCGCGCCGCCTCGTTTTCTATCGACGGCTATTATTATATAGCTCAGGTGAAAAGAAACTGAAACGATTACGTTTGATTATGGTTCGTCTTGCAACCGTCTTCCAGGCTAGCGATTCGCCTATCCCGTAACGAGACGATCCAGTTCGCCGTGGCGTGAAACAGCGTTAAGCAATAACCGATCAACCGTGCGATCGCATCGTGTGTACGTCAAATGTCATCCCCTACTCCCCGTAGCCATTACCCTGCCACCTGGAACGGGGCATGAAACGCGGCATGAAACGCTTGAAATTACGCGAAAAATTCAGACATCTCCCCGACACGATATTCCACGCCTTTTTATTTTCTTACCGTCTCGCGATTGTTTCGTCTGATAGCCTACCGTCGCGTCGTTCGATTTAATTAAAAGAAAATTGCAGTTCTTTGTTGAGAAATAATTTTCTAAAGTATGATGGGTTTGAATAATGAAAAAATTTGGAATGTATCACTCACCGATGGCGAATAGTTGTGGCTCGAGAGGGTCTCATCAGTCAACTGTCAGTACCTTCGAGAGGCTCCACCTTCGACCTTTGCACTCTTTTCACCATCCACCCGTCAGATCCACGCCCCTCGCTTAAATCCTCGGAACTTAATGCCACGGGCCAAGCCGGGGGCAGTTCATTTCCTCTTCGCTCACTTACCTGAAACACGAAAATTTCAAATTAGTTATCTCTATCGAGCGATCGTGCCAGCCCGGCCGATCGTGCTGCTTAAACAAATTACACCGCGATTACTGTAATCTACTTTCTGCCCGGGAAACTTTTCGTTTCTTTCCGTAACACAGAGCCGAAATTATAAAACTTCTTCTTCCCGTGTTTAATTACTATTTAGCGTTGATACTTGATATTATCTAGCAGCAGACACACAATTATTTCCAGCGTGCCAACCGCAAAGTGTTAATGAAACTCGTTCGCGTGAAAGAAAGCCCTGTTTCGATACGGAAAGTCTGCGAACCGATCGATGAGCCCCATTGTTTAAGAGATAAGGTGGAAATGGAAAGAAGAAGATAAAAAAAAGAGCCGTTCCTTATCAGAGGCAGCGTGACCAACAAAGAAACGAGCTGCATCGGTAAACGAACGAGAAACGAGAAAGGAGGAGCAAGGAAGACAAGTTTCGGGTTAAAAGTAATCAGGATAAGCTATTGCCTCCATTTCGCGCGACTATCTGCTCTTTGCTTTTCCTCTTCTTTTCCGCACCACCCCTTACCACCTTACCAACATTTTCCTCTGTCTTTCGTTTCATTCGAGCCGTGGATCAATCACCAGATTCTTTGATTAAACTTCTCAACGGTCCGCGCTTTCTTTGAGCACGCGTATTGGAAAGCCGGTGTGCGATTGGCAAACAGATACGAAAGAAATACTTTTTTTTTACCTACTATCGTTAATTAAACTTTAGCTGAACGGAAGAGGAATTGTGAATTATTGATTGTGAGAAATTCGTGTAACTAGGAGGAAAGGTAAACCGACACGGTAGGATATCGCAGTTGACTCGGTTACTTTAGCCGCTCGATCGTAAGCGATTTCGTTCCGAGGATCGTTCAATTTACGCAGCCAATTCGAGCGAAACGCTCGGCATCGGGGATTTTCAAACGGAATAGAGCAGCTAAAATGCGGTGCACGGTAAAAACTGTTAAAAGTGTGAAATTTTCAACGTCGATAGTTGTTTCCGCTGTGAATGTTTAAAGTGACGAACGACTGGTTTCAGTGGCGGGGCACGGTGCTTAAGCGTGCTCTTCGACACCGGAATACGCTCGTGTCCGCACGAAAATGGCCAATATAACTATTCGGGAACGCGTACGCGTCCTGATATTAGCGTGAGACCACAATCGACTCGGACAACGGGCATCCACGTTTCACCTATTATTTTTTTTTCTCTCTTTTATTTTTTATTTTTAATTCGCGGTCGCATCGACACGGTTCCCCGCTTTTTTCATTTCGTTTCACGATTTATAGCCCCGCGAAGAACGTCGAACCACGGTGATCGCCGGTGATTTACCGGCGAATCATAATCGGCGCGATTCATCGCGAAATAACAAATGAAAAATACAACTTGTTCGTTTTCTATCCATTCCGCTAGGTTTGATCAATAATCTAATAGTAGGAATCGCGAACGATCGTGTTTCTATTTTCGAAGAAGCTTAGAAGCTTGCCGTTCAACGATTTCCCGGTATCGTGGACGAGCAGCGGTTATTTCGTAGGAGAACGCGGCTTGTAAGTCGGTGATTAGGCAAGCGTCGTGTCGGTGATTAACATACGACGGGGCTTCCGGGATTAGGCTGGTAAATCCTATTGCGAGGATCCGCGCTACGCATCAGCCTGTCGATGGCTTATGACGCGGCTTCCCTAAATATTGTGAAATTATTAACACATTAGCCGTTTCGTAGAAATTTACACTGGGATACGATGCTTGTCCCGGAACGGCATCTGTTGGGACACCCTGTTGTCGCGACGATTCTGGCTCCGCCCATGGCGCCTGTTTCCCTGACAACGTTTGTTACCGATCGTTCGGAAAACATGCGTCCCATGCGAAGTCTTTCTCATCCTACCACCGTTATCTCCTTTTCCAACAATTTATACCCTATCATTTTTTTTTTTTCATATTTTATTACTTTCGTCTAACGCGAAGCTATTAGCGACAATTAGCGGTGATCGATAGAAGAGGGAAACACTATAACGCTTCGAAACGTTGAAATCGGTCATCCCTGTTGCAAAGTCGCGAACAGAACGCTGTAAACTGCTGCTTGTGGTTAAATACCTTAAACAGAGCGTTCGCGAACAAGCTTAATATAACTGTGATGGATTAAGTGTTGCAAATGGCGGTAGGGTTTCGCCCACCTTAATGTCACCAACTTACCCCTGTACACGACGTACGTACACGTTTGCTTCGCCTTTCTCCGAGTTGCCCCATTCCGTTTCGCTATGAACTTAATCCAACGCGGAGACGTCGCGATTGTTGTGCCGAAAGCGGTAATTGCGAATCCATTGTCCGGCAATGTGCAAGGAGCGCTATTTCTATTTTTGAAACTATCGAATCTTGGAGGATTTATTTCGAAGTGAAATTTCGAAGCTGGCAATTGTAACCAGCTGTGTGACATTCGATTCCGGAGTCGAGGCAAAGCGAAGCGTAGAATTCGTTCCATTTATGCAGAAAAAAATTAGTAGCTCCGCACCACTTGCTGCTCCGCGTTCCCGCCAATTCGAACCTATCGAGTTTCTGCGTTTAACGAAATTCCGATAAATTGTAACGGGAGCGTGGTGGGACGCGAGTAGAGGAAAAGAGCTGCACCGATGTCGACCAATTGTTCGCTATTGCTTTTTTTTCTTTTTTCTTTTTTTTATTTTCCAAACAAAGTCCTCGAATTCTGAGATCGCGGATCGCAGTTACGACGAACGCTTCGTTCGGTAATTTAACAAACGAGTATCAATCGCTAGGCGAACAAAGGCCGGTCGAGTTGAAGCACGCGACTAGTTTAAAAACATTTGAACCGTAATCGAAACACGGCGAACGTTTTAATTAAACGTTTAATACTCGATTGCGTCGATACACCGACAACAGAATTCACGTGCATCTCGAAATATCTGAAATATCTGAAATATTAGAAAAATGTTGGTGTACACAGATTTTTCGCATACCACGCATTCGCTTTAACCGATTCAGCTATCTAAGAGAATTTTCCGTGAATTCTTCCGTCTTAAATATTATCAGGCAAGATTTTATTAAAATCTTTCATCGATAAGTCCTTGGTTTTCTTCGAAAATGAAACATTCTTCTGGAAAACTTTCGTACGCGTACAGCTGGTATTTTAGAAGCGGTTTAAGTAGTCTAACTCAATGATAAATCATCCCTGCAGCGAAACTGTTTCTTCTTTAATAACGTCTCTCGGACTTTATGCTCCGTGCAAATGACCGACCCATTGAATTCCTAATACGCAGTTACTCGAACAATTTGAATAACCGTTCTTCCCTTCCATTTTATCCGAGGTCCGGCGCCCGTCGCCGGTTCTTGGCGCTATTTCGCCATTTTCAGTGTCGCGTAGCCCGTGTTTCATCGTCCCCTCTGTTCCCGTTTCATCCACCCTCGCGCTGTGCGCGTTAGCACGCGGAACGAATTCGAAACGTTAACGGAAGTCGATTCGAGGCTAACGAGCAGACGATCCAATTATAGAATTTTCATTCGGCCACATTCGCTGCCTCGACGCTTGAAGCGTGTTCGCTTTTGTACGAGTTAAAGCGAGCCCTTTCCCGAGGCCGATGCTCCGAGCCGGCGGGTATTAACGCGAGCCCAGGATTTAGTCGGTCGATTTCTGCGTCGGCCAGAGTGCCGTGCGAAAAATTACAGCGCAACAATTATCACGGCACCGGCCGTTATCGCGTTCCCCGACCCCGGGACAAGAAAATCGTTCCGCACGCTGATTTAATTTTCTTTTTCTCCTTTGCGCCCGTTGTCCCTCGAAACCATCCTGCTTTTCATTTTTTTTATTTTCCGACTTGTCCGAACACGCGAGAATGATTCGGTTGCTACAGTAGTATAGAAAGAAAATTAACACTATCCGTGCTCCGTCACGTCTGACCATATATTGAGCCGCGTTCCACTTGCCTGAGCGCGCTACTTCTGCCTGTCTGATCATACCGCGTACATATATTACTCGTCTGACCACCGATGTACCGTACGCGTGAAACTACGTAACTAATTCCCGGCGTCGCGTCGCGTCGCGTCGCGTCGCGTCGCGTCGCATCGGTGGAAGAAGAAGGGTAAGCCGATAGGACAACAGGATAAAAGGAAGAAGCAGAAATTACAGCTACACCGTGAATCGAGTTATAACTCGATGATTCCAACCTCGTCTCATCCGATCTACTCGTATATTCGGCACGTCGCCGAGAACGTGACCAGAGACAGTGCTCGACCCCAGACCGTGCCGCAACGTGACTCCGTCTAATCTAAGGGATATTTTCCGTGGCGCGAAACTTCCGGCATGGGAAGGCAGCCTGTTCGGTTCGCGGGATCAGACGACTCATATTCAATTTGCATTTAAATATCCTTCGACTGGGATTCGCTGGAGACGGAACGGAAATATCGCGTGGCGAATCGTTGATAACCGATGCCGAGGTAAATTTTCCCGATGGAAAATCGAACGGATGCTGCGGGTTATCCGACGGGGCGACGGACGGATCAAAGAGCTCTGACCCTTCGCTTGATTCGACGGCGGTAAATTCGAAGCGATCGTGGCGGAAGAAGAATAAAATAAATTGCTGTCGATTGTTAATCGAAAATAATAACTGGGAAAGATTCGAACGCTTCAGGAAAGGAAAAGTTTGGTTGAAATATTTTCATGAGATTCGCAAACAAGCCTTTAACTCTCCCGAGGCCGTGTCAACGTGACGTTGTTTTCATTTGAACGGGTTCGCCACTTTGTTTCGCGTTTTCCGATTAATTTGAATTTCAGCCAATTTATCTTTCGGCCCGTAACGAAACGCTCCGCCCTAACAAATAATTCACGATCGATCCCCTCCCCCCGCTTGTGATTGCCCTTCGCCGTAATCCCCGTACGGTTTAAATATCGATTCCAATTTTTATAGATTATTGCATTTGCCAACGTTTTATCTCGGCTTATGCAGCGACCTCGATTTACGCCAGCGACACG